AGTATCGAGGTCGCCCGGATGCACTTTTCAGAATCCATGTCCCGAGGCGTATTCCGGCCAGAGCAAAGTGCATCGGGCAATTTTATTTAAAGATAAGAATAAAAATACAGCCGAGGAAAATTACGCGCGCATTTGAACGAATGGCCAACGACGACGACATCGTTCTCATCGCCTGCGCCATGGCCGCAGCGGCGGCCGCAGCAGCCATTAAGAGCGGCCTTCTCGATGACGACGAGCCCCAGGTGAGGCCGCAGCTCCGGTTCGTGCGCCCAGAGACGTCGTACCTGGACTACATGGACATGCAACGCGACCTACTCCATGATCGCGGTGATCGTGTCATCTACGACACTTTCCGCATGAACGGTGCAAGCCTCGATGCTTTAGTCAAGATGGCGGCACCCTATCTCCGGGGCAAGGGAATTCCCTTGCTCCGCGGGCACTACCATGTTCCCGCCGACAATTCGAGTATTTTTTTATTCGCTCGATTAAAAATTTGACGGCCGATACCAGCCAACGAGTCCTCGATCCAATCGTGTTCGGTCAGCAATCCGATGGTGGCTTCGTCGACGCCAACCGGATACACATCCGCCTGGATGTGTATCCGGCAGAGGTACATTCTGGGTGCAGATCCACTTCTCAAGCATGATCACCGAGGTCGATCATTTTCAAGGCCATCGCATCAATGAGGCCGGTGTCATGGAGCTCGTGTCACGGCGGTGAAGCATACGGCGCTCGGCAAGGTCACGACGAGTTTCGTAGATGTGCGCAATTTCTGGTCCAAGCTCGCGGGTCACTCCAACGGAATCGCCAACAACAACGGTGACGCCATCGACATACTCTTCGACGCATGGACGACTGTGCCGAGTGCTACGACTTGATGACAGGCTACTGGCACGAGTGGCTTGCGCTCGCCAAGACCAGCTACGAAATCGTCCAAGGAGTCGAGGACGTCTCGACGACAATGCACGACATCATGTCCGATTTGCCCAACTCGAAGCAAGCGAACGAGCGCCTACCGGGTCTCCTTACGAATCTCCAAAAGATCGTCGGGGCCACGACATCCACCGTCTGACGTGAAATCTCAGAGCACCAGACCAACTACTTTGGGCACATCGTATTTCATAGCCCTTCTACATACAGTATATTATTACATGCACTGCTATCTTCACGCGTTCTGCCGTCCATGTTCGACTCTCAGTCAATCAACTTGCCGCGTCGATCAACAAAATCCCGCTGTGACGTAGGAGTCCCAAGTCCAACCGGTTTAGCAACGTAGCACATACGGGTTGGTGGTGGGCAATCGCTATCTGTCGTAGAAAAAACTTTGGCGGAGAGGGACGAGATGCCCATGGTACACATGGACGTACGTGTAGCCAAGGTTGTGTAGCCACTATGCTTGCCATGCGGTGTCGGTCGGGGGTAGGGATGCCACATTGCCGTTTGTTAAATTCGGCATCCAACCTCTGAAAATGCATATGGTGGCCCATGGCACAACTGTGAATGGCCGACCTCGCCGATGAACGACCAGCAGCAGCCGCCCGACCTCTCGGGCCTGCTCCTGCGGCTGTACCAGCAGAGCCAAGGGATACACAAGTCGAGCAAGAAGGCCTCGGACGAGCTCCAGTCGCACCTCGCGACGACCGCGCTGCCCGTCGAATGCCATGAGAAGCTCTTCCACCAGATTCTGCACCACGCGACGCTGTCGGGCGACGCCCACGCGGGCCCGACCCGCTGGCTCACGCTCGTGGCCGCGTCCAACCTCCTCTGCACGGCCGGCATGCTCGCCATGTACCCGATGCAGAAGATCCTCCTGCGCGTGTTACCGGACGCACTCGAGCGCTGGTTCAAGCTCACGGCGACCAACGACCGCCAACCGAGTGGCAATGGCCAGCTCCGCGACGGCGTCTTTTGTACCGTCGACGATCCTCCAGCACGAACGCCTCGCGCAGCAGAGCGGCCAGGCATTTGCGCTCGCCATGTTTCTCGATGCGATCGTGTCGCTGCTCGAAGGCAGCGACGACGAGGCCGCGGTCGTCGAGCTCAGCCGCGTCCTGCAAACGACGGCCATTGCG